CAGCTGTCCAGGGTCTCAGGCAAAGAGTTCTTTCCCATCACCTCCTGCCCAGTCCTTTTAACTGGGGATGCCGGGGATTGAACCTGGGACCTTCTGCCTGCCACTGAGCCACAGGCCCTCTTTACAGCTCTCCAGGGTCTCAGGCGGAGGTCTTTCCCATCACCTCCTGCCTGGTCCTTTTAACTGGAGATGCCGGGGACTGAACCTGGGACCTTCTGCATGCCAAGCAGAGGCTCTTCCACTGAGCCACAGCCCCTCTCCTGCTGGGACATACCGATGAAGGGAGAGTAGGCATGGCAGCTGACCCTGGCCTGCTAATAAGAAAACCCACCTGTGCACTCTCTCTCCTCCCTTTCCCTCCCCCGTACGTGCACATCCTTTAGTCTCTTACCTCCTCCACCAGATGTACCATCCTCCTGGTGCTGTCCAAAGACTGCCGTGGGGAGTGTGGTGGGCCGGAGAGGGTCAAAAAGGGGGGGGGGGAAATATATATTGTCACCAAAGGTCCAGTTATCCCAAATCCCAAAGCAGTCTGCTTATTGGTTTATTTTGATTCGGACACCGCTTCTCTTCGACGAAGCGTTTGGAGCGGTTTACGACGCTTGTACGATGACATCGATCAAAACAGGTACAAAACATCGCCCAGCAGATATCCCATGAAATCCCGCATAGTCATGTAAATCATATGAGATATATGAAACTGATCCAAACCCAATGTTTTAGCATTGATCTATATCGCCCAGAGCCTTGGTTTTGCAGGAATGGGACGATTCCTAAATTGAATTATTATTGTTGTTGTTGTTATTGTTATTACTATTAATATACTATTGCTATTACCCTGTTTTCCCGAAAATAAGACCTACCCAACAAATAAGCCCTAGCAGGATTTCTATGCATTTGTGGTATAAGCCCTAGTGTGTCTTCTTGAGAAAAAATAAATATAAGACAGTGTCTTATTTTGGGGGAAACACGGTACAATTATTGGAGGAGGAGGAGGAGGAGATTGGATTTATACCCCACCTTTCACTCGGAGTCTCAGGGCGGCTTACATTCTCCTTTCCCCTTCCCCTCCCCACAACAGACACCCTGGGAGGTAGGTGAGGCTGAGAGAGCTCTTTCCAGAACTGCCCTTGAGAGAACAGCGCTGACAGGACTACGGCTTGCCCAAGGTCATCCAGCAGCTGCAAGTGCAGGAGTTGGGGGAATCAAACCCGGTTCTCCCAGATTAGAGTTCGCACTCCTAACCACAGTGCCAAACTGGCTCACAATATTAACAACAACAACCCTAAGCAGGGCTTTTTAAAAATATATATATATAGGTGCCGGAACTCTCAAGAGGGGAATGAAGTTTTCAATCTGTATACTGAAAACTCAGGAACTTTTAAACATTTCTAAAGGAATTTTGTCAAAGAGGTTCTGGAACTCCAATCCGGCACCTTCCCCCAGAAAAAAAGCCCTGATCCTAAGACTGTAGGAACCCTACAAAAGGCACCACTTATTACAGTACCCACAAGCCAGCTATGCCTTATAATAGAGAGATACCAGAACAAAGTTTGTCCAGCGGCACCTTTAAGACCAACGAAGTTTAATTCTGAGTATAAGCTTTCGTGTGCATGCACACGTCTACAGATACCAGCACACACACAGGAAAGCTGATACCCAGAATTAAACTTTGTTGGCCTTAAAGGTGCCACCGGACTCAAACTTGGTTCTGCTGCTTCCGACCAGCATGGCTACCCTACCTGAATCTAGAGAGAGATACTATGAACCAAAAGCACACCAGAATACTTCTGTGAGCCAGTTTGGTGCAGTGGTTAGGAGCGGCAGACTCTAATCTGGGAGAACCCGGTTTGATTCCCCGCTCCTCCTCCGCATGCAGCTGCTGGTGTGACTTTGGGTCAGTCACAAGTTCTCTCAGAGCCGTTCTCTCAAGGGCAGTTCTGGAAAGAGCCCTCTCAGCCCCACCTGCCTCCCAGGGTGTCTGTTGTGGGGAGGGGAAGGGAAAGGAGTCTGTAAGCCGCTCTGAGACTCCTTTGGGTAGTGAAGGGTGGGGTATAAATGCAATCTCTTCTTCTCTCCTTCTTCTACTCACTGGAGAACTCCAAGGTCCATAGCTTTTTCCCCCAGACCAGATGCCTTCGTGGTCTTCCCTTTGCCTAGGAATTCAGCTCAGACATGCCACGTTGGGTTGCCAACTCCAGGTTGGGATATTCTTGGTGATTTGGGGGTGGACTCTAGAGAAGGCAGGATTTGGGGGAGTGAAGGGTATAATGTCATAGAGTCCACCCTCCAAAGCAGCCATTTCCTCCAAGTGGTCTCTGTAGTCTGGAGATGAAAGGTTATTCCAGGGGATCTCCAGGCCCCACCTGGAGGCTTGGCAACCCACAAATTTTGCAAACAAGAAAAAGGTGCCAACCTTAAATATCCCCCTTTTTGTGTAAGTGTTCACACTCCAGACCAGTGTTCCCTCTAAGCTGAGTGAGTGTGAGCCGGCTCACAGTTTTTTAGCCTCTGGCTCACACATTTTTGCCTTCGCTCAGGAAGGAGGGCTCCAGAGCAGTGTTCCCTCTAAGCTGAGTGAGTGTGAGCCAGCTCACAGGTTTTTAGCCCCCGGCTCACACATTTTTGCCTTTGCTCAGGAAGGAGGGCTCCAGAGCAGTGTTCCCTCTAAGCTGAGTTAGTATGAGCCGGCTCACAGGTTTTTAGCCCCCGGCTCACACATTTTTGCCTCCGCTCAGGAAGGAGGGCTCCAGAGCAGTGTTCCCTCTAAGCTGAGTTAAAGTGAGCTAGCTCACAGTTCTTTAGCCTCAGGCTCACACATTTTTGTCTTCGCTCAGGAAAAAGGGCTCCAGAGCAAACTAATTGATTCAGCCGCCAAATCGCGCGCTCACAACTTGAACGGCAGGAGCTCACCGAGGAGAGTTTTTGCTCACAAGACTCCGCAGCTTAGAGGGAGCGTTGCTCCAGAGCAAACTAACTTACACAGCAGCCAAACCGCTCGCCCACAACTTTAATGCCAGCAGCTCGCGAAGGAGAACTTTTGCTCACAGGACTCCACAGCTTAGAGGGAGCACTGCTCCAGACTTGGACGGAAACCAATGAAACCTTGCACTTCAGGCTAACGGGCACGAAACAAACCCACCGGGCCGAACCGGGGCTGCTGAGACGAGCAAGAATGATTGTTCCGGCTCCCTCTGCCGGCTCCCTCTCTGCCCGTTTCGGCCTGCCTACTGAGCACAGCCTTGCAAAGGTCTGCGCCAAGACCTGGAGAGCAGCGATTAGCTGCAGACATCTCTCTGACTCCCCGAGCCAAGCAGGTGTGTAGCGGAGGGTTTGAGGAGTGGGGGGGTGAGACAGGTCTGTGATTAAACCTCGGGGTCGGTCCCTCCCTCTCCCTTTCTCTTCTCGGCGCTGGGAAAGAATAGCTCGCCACCTGCCAAAACTTCAGGCTCCGTTCTAGCTGGAAGCGGGGAGGTGGGGGGAATCGAACCGCCCACCGAGGCCAGGCCCAGACAGGTGTGAGCTTTCTTTCCGAGAGGCCCCGGATCAGGTCGGAAAGGAGTAGAGCTGCCAGTCTCCAGGTGGGGCCCGGAGATCTCCCGGAATGACAACCAACCTCCAGACGACAGTGGGGTAGAAGCCCATAGAATCCCTCTTCCAAAGCTATCTGCTATCTGAAGAACCTTCCCGCTTCTTCAGATAGCTGGTACTCTTTTCACGTTGTTCTTTCTGTCGACAACGCTTCTACAGGACTGTGGTGGTTAGCAATCAGGATTCCACGGGTTAGTGGGGTGACCGGATTTGGAAAACTGGTCTAAGGAGATTTGTTAAATTGTCATTTGAGTAACTATGGATGTTCTGGCAACTGGGGGAACGGTAAATTTGTTATAAATAATAGGTATGACATAGAAACAGGGGTCGTTTCCTGCGGGAGCGCACAGGAGTGGAGCTCTGGCAGTAAGGAGCCCAGGGGGCGGGCACATGCAACAAGCCCCGCCCCCGGCTCCCAGCAGCCCTCAGTCGGGCCACGAGGAACAAGAAGCAGCCAGGTACGTTGCAGTGTCCCCCCTCCCCGGCCCACCTTCAGGTAAAAGCTCTCCTTCCTCTGTGAGGGCAGATCTGCACGTCCCCCCCCATAGCTAGCTATCCAAAACAGTCCAGTGGCACCTTTAAGACCAAGTTTTATTCAGGTACAAGCTTTCCCTCCTCTGCGAGGACAGATCTGCATGTGTCCCCCCGCCCCGATAGCTAGCAATCCAAAACAGTCCAGTGGCACCTTTAAGACCAAGTTTTATTCAGGTACAAGCTCTGCCTCCTCTGCGAGGACAGATCTGCATGTGTCCCGCCGCCCCGATAGCTAGCAATCCAAGACAGTCCAGTGGCACCTTTAAGACCAAGTTTTATTCAGGTACAAGCTCTCCCTCCTCTGCGGGGACAGATCTGCACGTTCCCCCACACACACAG